CTTTAACTGTATGCTGAATGTCATTGGGAAATTGAAAAGTGTTTATTTATTCAATCGTGATTTTTGTTATTAACCTCCCTGGTGGTATTCCCGAGTGTAGCTCGGGGTAAAGTTTCAGTACCAAAAGCGGTAACCCTGAGCTACACTCGGGAATACCATGCGGCGCTGCTCAGGGATCTGTTCTTCTCTTACCTTGTCCTGCGCTCCCGCAATTTCCCTCCTGCAATGTCCCCGACAATGTAATGCCGGCATCTGTCATCTGGGTTCCGTCCCCTGCAAGTGTCGGGACATAAGGGGGACGGAACTGGCGGGAAATTCAAAAATGTGAAAAACTGACATTCACTAAATACACTAAAATCATATAGTATAACCTTACTGTTTCAAACCATTTCACATACATTTTGTCCCGAGTGCTTTGTCCGGCGCCCTGCCTGCATTTTTTACTGTTCTTTCTGTCTGGAAACTGAGAAATGTCCATGGTGTCCAAAAAGCGCCCCTTTAGGTCAAAAGCGGTTTTAGACCGGCTAAAGAACAGCGATAGTAAATTAGAACTACTTGCAGAATTGAGTGATAATGATTTGTGGGGGAAATTCCTCATCAGACACTGAAAACGATTTTGCAACTTTGCTCAGCGATGTGCGAATTTGCCTCTGTATTTCAAATTTCAGTGTTTTGGTTTGATTATATTATTGAATTAAATTTATTAATATTATTTTATTATTTTTTATGATTATTTATTAAATTATAATTTATGATTTCATGTTTCAAATTTTATCATATCCGGGATGTTTACTAGACTCTTGTTCAGACAGATTTCAGTGAGTTGTTCCTAAAAATTACAGGCCTACAATAAGAAAAATACATATTTCCATGCAAAAAAATGTACCGCTTTGAGCACAGAAATATGGACATAATCAGACCGCCAGGGAGGTTAACAGTTTAAAGAGAGCCCTTGTCCTTGTTATTTTCACCCTCAGGCCTGGGAGAAAAAAAGCTCCGGACACCGAAGTGTGAAAGCTAAATCTCTGAAAGTTTAATGCATGACAAGATTGGTTATACAGAACTCAGTAGGTGTTGCTTAATCTCAGGATGGCACTGAAACATTCTATATATATAGTTACATGAAGAACAGAAACTGCAAGTAGTTGAGGGATACCATATCTTTCCGTTTACCATATAGTTCCGTTTACAGAAATGAAACTAGTCTAATGCAGGCCATACATGGTTTGAATTCCGAACGATTTTCGTCCGAAAATCGGACCTAAGAATAAGCAGCCAATTTTCGCTCTGTTAGTGGGGCAATGGAATCGGCCGATTTTTGTGGTTCCTCCCCATTTCGTTTATCGGGCATGCTGGAAAATTCTTGAAAAAACTACCGATTTTCTAAATCATTGGTGGCACCATCGGATTACAGAACGAACGATGTTTCGATTTTCGGATGAAAAATCATTCGGAATTCGAACGATATATGGCCTGCATTAGAAAAGGAGAGAGAAGTTACAAAACCTAGTCTAAGAAAACGAGAGAGAAGTTACAAAACCTAGTCTAAGAAAACGAGAGAGAAGTTGCAAAACTGAAACTAAGTGTTCACACGTCTAGAAATGGACGCATTATACAAAATGGGTGCCAGTTAATGAGACATACAGTTGCAAGAAAAAGTATGTGAACCCCTTGGGATTACGTGGAGTTTTGCAGGAATTGGGCATAAAATGTGCTCTGAACGTCATCTAAGTCACAACAATAGAAGAACACAGTCTGCTGAACATAATACTACACAAACATTAGATGTTGCCATGGTTTAATTGCACATAACATGTAAACATTCACAGTGCAGGGAGGAAAAAGTATGTGAACCTTTGGACTTAATAACTGGTTGACCCTCCCTTGGCAGCAATAACCTCAACCAAACGTTTCATGTAGTTGCAGATCAGACCTGCACAACGATCTGGAGTAATTTTGGACCACTCCTCTTCACAAAACTGTTTCAGTGTAGCAATATTCTTGGGATGTCTGGTGTGAATCGCTCTCTTAAGGTCATGCCACAGCATTTCAATTGGGTTGAGGTCAGGACTCTGACTGGGCCACTCCAGAAGGCGTATTCTTTGCTGTTGCAGCCATTGTTTTGTTGAATTACTTGTATGCTTTGGGCCATTGTCCTGTTGCATCACCCATCCTCTGCGGAGCTTCAGTTGGCGGACAGATGGTCGTACGTTTTCCTGCAAAATGTCTTGATAAACTCTGGAATTCATTTTCCCATCAATGACAACAATCCGTCCAGGCCCTGAGGCAGCAAAGCAGCCCCAAACCATGATTCTCCCTCCGCCATGTTTTACAGTGGGGATGAGGTTTTGATGTTGGTGTGCTGTGCCTTTTTTTCTCCACACATAGTGTTGTGTGTTCTTCCCAAACAACTCAATCTTGGTTTCATCTGTCCACAGTATATTTTGCCAGTAGTGCTGTGGAACATCCAGGTGCTCTTTAGCAAACTTCAAACGTGCTGCAATATTCTTTTTGGACAGCAATGGCTTCCTCCGTGGTGTCCTCCCATGTACTCCATTCTTGTTTAATGTTTTCCTTATTGTAGATGTGCCAACAAAAATGTTAGCATATGCCAGAGATTTCTGTAGGTCTTTAGCTGACACTCTGGGATTCTTCTTTACCTCATGCACCATTCTGCGCTGTGCTCTTGCAGTCATTTTTACAGGACGACCACGCCTAGAGAGAGTAGCAACAGTGCTAAACTTTCTCCATTTGTAGACAGTCTGTCTTACCATGGACACATGAACATCAAGGCTTTTGGAGATACTTTTGTAACCCTTTCCAGCTTCATGCAAGTCAACAATTATTGATCGTAGGTCTTCTGAGAGCTCTTTTCTGCGAGGCATGGTTCACATCAGACAGTGCTTCTTGAAACCAGTAAACCCAAAACAGGTGTGTGTTTTTTTAAGGGCAGGACAGCTGTCAGCAACACATCCAATATCATCACACTGATTAGAGTCAAGGTTGGCTCACTCCTGGCTCCAATTAGCTCTGGGAGAATTCATTAAGCTAGGGCCTCACATACTTTTTCCTCACTGCACTGTGAATGTTTACATGTTATGTGCAATTAAACCATGGCAACATCTAATGTTTGTGTAGTATTATGTTCAGCAGACTGTGTTCTTCTATTGTTGTGACTTAGATGACGTTCAGAGCACATTTTATGCCCAATTCATGCAAAACTCCACCTAATCCCAAGGGGTTCACATACTTTTTCTTGCAACTGTATTTCCTTACAGTGAGCGAGGTTTATTTTTAAGGACTTGAGAAGTTTTATGGCCCAACAAAGGCAAACAGTGTGTCCTCTTATAGACAACAATGCTAATGTAGGGTTTTATGGCATTGTATTGGGCAGTACAGTGGCTAAATGGTTAGCACTTCCACCTGGCAGTAGTAGGATCATTGATTCAAATCCCAACCACAGCACCACCTGCCTGGAGTTTGTATGTTCTCCCTGTTCCTGTATGGGTTTCCTCTGGGAAATCCAGTTTCCTCCCACATTCCAAAGACATGCTGGTAGGTGAATTGGCTCCTGTCTAAATTGTCCCTAGTATGTGTATGTATGAATGTGAGTTAGGGACCTTAGATTGTACGCCCCTTGAGGGTTAGGGACTGATGTGAATGTACAATATATACGTAAAGTGCTGTGTAAATTGACAGCGCTATATAAGTACCTGAAATAATAATTGTATTTGTTATTATGCTGTTTTTTTATTGTACAGTTTATCCTCAGTTTTTTTTACAAAGCCAACAAATAGTTTGTTTAAACCTCCAAGATGTAGGACTAGAAACCTAGTCACATACATTGGAAGATATAGCCGTATGCAGGGCTTTTGTGGGGGAATGCAGTTCCGGCACCTCCTGCACTGAATGTATGTAATGGGGGAGTGATGGGGTGTGCTGGAGGGTCTATTGATGCTGGCTGCTTGGGGATTTATTGTTGCTTGAAGGACTCTATTTTTGTGGGGGGAGGTCTATTGTTGCTGGGGAGAAGTATTGTTGCTGGTGGGGGATCTATTGTTGCTAGGGTGGGTCTTATGTTGCTGGGGGGGTCAGTTGTTGAAGGAGGGGTCTATTGTTGCTGACTGCTGGAGGGTCTATTGATACTGGCTGCCAGTGGTCTATTGTTGCTGGGAGAAGTATTGTTACTGGTGGGGGATCTATTGTTGCTAGGGGTGGTTCTTATGTTGCAGGGGGGGTCAATTGTTGAAGGAGGGGTCTATTGTTGCTGACTGCTGGAGGGTCTATTGATACTGGCTGCCAGTGGTCTATTGTTGCTTCAGGGGTATTTTGTTGCAGGTGATCCATTGTTGCTGGGGGGGTCAGTTGTTGAAGGAGGGGTCTATTGTTGCTGACTGCTGGAGGGTCTATTGATACTGGCTGCCAGTGGTCTATTGTTGCTGGGAGAAGTATTGTTACTGGTGGGGGATCTATTGTTGCTAGGGGTGGTTCTTATGTTGCTGGAGGGGTCAATTGTTGAAGGAGGGGTCTATTGTTGCTGACTGCTGGAGGGTCTATTGATACTGGCTGCCAGTGGACTATTGTTGCTGGAGGGGTATTTTGTTGCAGGTGATCCATTGTTGCTGGGGGGGTCTATTGTTTCTGGCTGCAGGGGATCTATTTTGCTGCTTTTCTTGTTATCATTAATATATTTCATACAAATTACTTAGCACCCGAAAATGATACTTGGTTCTGTATTCTTTAATAGGGCAAAACTGGGAAGGGGATAGGGGAGTGAAACCAAGGAACAATGCTCAGAGGTCGGTAGGGGCATAGACAAAGGGTGACTTGGAAAAGGAAAGTTCCTGTACTTATTCTCTGATGACAAAAAAAACTCTGGCCTCATGATTCTGTAAATAGACCTAAAGCAAGTTTTAAAAACCGCTTTTTTTTTTCCGCCACCCTATAGCAGAAATACTTCTACAGGGTGGCAGGACTGCACAAAATCATGTATATATCTGTGAATTTGCATTTCCGGGGGCACGTAAGCTCTACCCGAGCAGCTATTGGCGGCCTCAGCTGTTGATCACTGTATCCCGGTCGGTGATTCCCCGCCGGCACCTGGCGATCGCCGAGTATCACTGACAGGGGAGAGACCTGTATGTAAACAATACAGATGTCTCCCCTGTCAGCTCCAGCATACTGCTTTGTATGGCTCTACAAAGCAGAGCCCTACAAAGTAATGTGCTGACACAGTAAAGCACAAACAACACACTGTAAAAACAGCACACAGTTAACCCTTTGATCACCCCAGATGTTAACCCCTTCTTGCCCAGTGCCATTAGTGCAGTGTTGGTGCTTTTTATTAGCACTGATCATTGTATTGGTGACATTGGGGATGTCAGTGACACCAAGTCAGTTCCCCCCCCAGTGTCAGAATGCCCTCTGCAGTCCCGCTATAAGTTGCTGATTGCCGCCATTACTAGTATAGAAAAAAAAAAGTCCAGTATATATACCACCATTTGTAGACGTTATGACTTTCACATAAACCAATTAATTTACACATATTAGGATTTTTTTTTTAGCAAAGACATGAAGCAGAATACATTTTGGCCTAAATTTATGACCAAATTTGATTTTTAAAATTTTTTTTTACTAGACATGTTTAACCATTTCCCGTCCGGCCCATGTGCATAAACAGCCGGGCGGAAGCAGTGCCAAAGCGGGTACACCATTTATAAATGGCCTCCGCATTCACTGCCTGTGCTGGAGGACACAGCGGAACACCGATTGCTGTACAGGACCTCTGTGTGAGGTCCCAATCATGTGATCACTGATTGGCCAATCAGTGATCACATGAAAAGTAGTAAGCAAGATTTCACTGCTGACATCATTGATTACTACTTGTAAAATCTGTAAATGATCATAAAAACATAAATAATAATATAAATAAAAATGTAAAAAACATTTTTGAAAAAATATAATTTTGGTTATAAACTAATTTGGGTTATTTTCTACAAAAAGATAGATGAATACATTTTGGCCAAGATTTATGAAGAAAGATTATTTATTTGCAAAATTTTATAAGAAAAACACTTTTTTTCAAAATGTTTGGACTTTTTCATTTATATAAGAAAAAAATAAAAATCCGAGTGGTGAATAAATAGCAGCAAAATAAAGTTTTATCTGTCTCAAAAAAATGCTAAAAATTTCATATGGGTACAGCGTTGCATGACCGCGCAATTGTCATTCAAAGTGTGAAAACTGAAAAATGGCCTGGACAGGAAAGGGGTAAAAGTGTCCGGACTTGAAGCGGTTAATGGCAAAAAGTAAAAAATATTGTTTTTTACTCAAAGTTGTCGGTCTTCTTTTGTTTATAGCTCAAAATATGTAAAACGCACAGGTGATCAAATACCACCAAAAAAAGCTCTATTTGTGGGGAAAAAAGGACATAAAATTAATTTGGGTGCATGTTGCATGACCATGCAATTGCCAGTTAAAGTAGCACAGCGCCATATCGTGAAAAATGGCCTGATCAGGAAGAGGGGGAAATCCTCTGGAGGGCAAGGGGTTAAAAGTTGAAGTGACGTGATGGGATGGTGGTGGCACCACCTATTCTCCGCCCAAGAAATTGCACTAAAAATAACCTAGTATTTCCTGTATATGCACCATACATCATACACAGACACCAGCTCCTGATCACAAGCAAATGGATTTTCTACTTGGCTTTTCAATCCTTCTGGTGGGTCTTCTTTCCTTTCCTACAGTCTACGCCGGTAAGTGTTATCAGTGGTATGTCATTTTATCTACAAAAAGTTTCAAAAGTAATCCACCTCCTCGCTGTAGATTTGAAGAAGTTTCTTTGGAATGAAGCATTGTCAGAAAGCCTGCGTACGATAACATAAGGAAGCGGTAACAAGTCCGAGTCGTTTGTCCTGAAGGGTTAGTTCATCTACAGGCTCCATGCACGCTGTACTCCAAAGGACGTTTGGGAGAAAAGCAGCTGCAAAGATGCGGCAAAAGCTGCATTTTTGCATGCGTGTTATTCGTTTGGGATTACTGCATCCTCTTGGCTATTTTTAAGCAAATAAAATAATTATAAAATAATTTAAAAAGATTAAAATAGTAACAATAATAATGATAGTTATAATAGTAAATATTCATTTATTCTGGCCATTAGAATGTATTAATGTATTAACGTGCATAAACGCACAAGACTATGCATGTTTATGTGTGTTTGTATGCAGGGCGTCCCTAGGGTTGGTGTCACCTGGTGCGGCAACACTTGGTGACACTCCCTCCGACGATCTCCGCAGAATGGATCGGATCTGCGGATTAAGCATAATGGATCGGACTCCGATTCATTATGCTCCCCATTCCGCAGATCTGATCCATCCTGCGGGGATCGTCGGCTTTCTTTACAACTTACCCTTTCGTGGAGCGGGTCCGGTGTCACCCTGTATAGGTTGCATGCTGACAATCCCCGCAGGATGGTTCGGATCTGCGGATTGAGCATAATCGATCAGAGTCTCCATTCCGCAGATCCCATCCATCCTACGAAGATTGTCGGCTTTCTTTACAACTTACCTTTTCGTGGAGTGGGTCCGGTGTCACCCCGTATAGGTTGCATGCCGACGATCACCGCAGGATGGTTTGGATCTGCGGATTGAGCATAATGGATTGGACTCCGATCCATTATGCTCCCCATTCCGTGGATCCGATCCATCCTGCAGGGATCGTTGGCTTTCTTTACAACTTACCTTTTCGTGGAGCGGGTCCAGTGTTACCCCGTATAGGTTGCATGCCGACGATCCCTGTAGGATTGTTCGGATCTGCAGATTGAGCATAATGGATCGGAGTCCAATCCATTATGCTCCCCAATCCGCAGATCTGATCCATCCTGCAGGGATTTTCGGCTTTCTTTACAACTTACCTTTTCGTGGAACGGGTCCAGTGTCACCCCACGTGGTCGGTGTCATCCGGTGCGGCACGCACCCCCCGCACCTGCCTCGGGACGACCACTGGTTTGTATGTTTTTTTCAGCCCAAACGCTCCTCTTCAGAACTCTCAAGTGATTTTTTTTTTCTGCCTCTAAATGATCCTTCTAAATGCCTGTAAACACCTATGGGTGCATACACTCATAGGTTACCATGGAGGGGCATTTCAGTATATGTAAACCCTCACCTTGTAAAACAACCCTTTCAAAAATAGAAATGAGAGGCAAGGGAGGATTATAACTCCTGTCAGTTGTTTTTTGTTGTTTTTTTTGCCATCTGCTTCCCATTGGGGAGATTTCCCGTCACTTCCTGTCTAATAGCTAAAATAGGAAGTGCGAGAAAATCCCTCCAAAGTGAGAAAATCCTCGGTTGTCCCCACAGGAAGATTTCTCCTCTATTCCTGTTTTGGTGACAACACAAAATTTGGGAAATATTTTTACTTTCACCTTCAGTGATAACAGTAAGCTGGACTAATATAGGGTAAATCTCCCCAATGGGGACATAGCAGTAAACTGGACTAATATAGGGTGAATCTCCCCAATGAGGACATAGCAGTAGGGCTCATGTACACTGCAGCTGATAAACTGACGTTCAGAAGCTTTTCTGCGTTTTTTTTTCAGCAGCCCCTGAACTCTCCCTAATGTTTTCTATGTGTCCATGTACACTATGTCATTTTACAGGCAGTTGAGTTTACAGTCTTTTTTTGAACGCACCAAACTTGCGTTCAAGAATAGATTTTATCAGCGTTTCAAATGCCAAATGTGTGTAAACGCAGCTAACTGCGTTTATAAGCGTTTGCGTTTCGAAGCGTTTTTTATCTGTTCCATATCCAGATGCTGTCCAGAGCCTTTTTTCATCATCAGAAATGCATGCAAAGCGTTTTCCATGTATTCAAATGGACCCGTACACCAGCGCAGTCAGTTGCAGGTTTTGCGTGAAGGAAAGAATGGTAGAACGCGCCGCATTATGGTCATGATGGGATCCATAGTGAATACAACCAGAAAAGACAGATAATCTCAACACATACTGCTCTCTCTGCTTCTGCTCTTTCCATTTATCTCTAAATATTTGAAATAGTTAACTTTGTACTGTTTTTCAGTGCATTCTCGGCATTTGGGAAGGTCCACTAATATACTTATCTTTAAAAAAAACGCTTCTAAATGCAAACACGCATGAACACGGTATGCAAACGCAGCTAAACAGACGTTTTTTAACCTACGTTATCCAGCAGTCAGTTTCCATCATCAGAAGAGCTTTCCAAACGTCCCGTGTACATAGAACCTAAGCTGGACTAAAAGAGGGTGCATCTCCCAAAAGAGGACACAGACAGAAAAAAAAACTGACAGGGATTCTAATTCCTCTCCACTCTATCCAAAACTAAAAAGGTTTTGCCTTTAGTTATACTTTACCATATCCACTTGACGCCCGCAGTACATATATATATATACGTTGCAGTTGTCAAGTGGTTTACCAGGGTTATAACTGAAGAAATCGGCCATAAGCCCAGTATTTTTTTTGGAGCAAGATAAATAATTCTAGCGCTAACCCTCCTGTGTACTGTAACCCCAAACTGGTAACCTGTAAAAAATTTGACAGCGTCGCCTATAAAGATTTTTAAGTACTGTAGTTTGTCGCCATTCCACGAGCGTCGCAGTTTTAAGTTTTAATGCGTGACATGTTAAGTATCTATTTACTTGCCGTAACATCCTCTTTCATATTTTACCAAAAAATTGTGATGTATATTGTGTTTTTTTTTTTAATTCACTAAAGTGTGTCTTTTCCAAAATTCTGTTTTGAAAAACCGCTGCACAAATACCATGTAACAAAAAATTGCAACGATTGCCATTTCATTCCCTATGTTAGTTGCTAAAAACAAAATATATAGTGTTTGGGGGTTGTTAGCAAAAAAATATTGATTTAAACCTGTAAACAAAACTTGGTCTTAAAGTGGTATAATATAATAGGTACAGTGAAGGAAATAAGTATTTGATCCCCTGCTGATTTTGAATGTTTGCCCACTCACAAAGAAATGATCAGTCTAAAAATCGAATGGTATGTGTATTGTAACAATGGGAGATAGAATAGCAACAAAAAATTCAAAAGAAATGCATTTCTAACAAATGATGCTCTGATTTGCATCTTCATGAGGGAAATAAGTATTTGATCCCCTTCACAAAACATGACTTAGTACTTGGTGGAAAAATCCCTTGTTGGCAATCACAGAGGTCAGACATTTCCTGTAGTTGGCCACCAGGTTGATACATTGCCCCGTCCATCGTCCCTTTGATGCGGTGCAGTTGTCCTGTCCCCTTAGCAGAGAAACACCCCCAAAGTAGAATGTTTCCATCCACCACCATGTTTGACAGTTGGGATGGTGTTCTTGGGGTCATAGGCAGCATTCCTCCTCCTCCAAACACGGTGAGTTGAGTTGATCCCAAAGAGCTTGATTTTGCTCTCATCTGACCACAACACTTTCAAGCAATCCTCCTCTGCATCATTCAGATGTTCAGTGGCAAATTTCATATGGGCCTGGACATGTGCTTTCTTGAGCAGAGGGACCTTGTGGGCACTGCAGGATTTCAGTCCTTGTCGGCGTAGTGTGTTACCAATTGTTTTCTTGGTGACTGTGGTCCCAGCTGCCTGGAGATCATTGACAAGATCCTCACATGTAGTTCTGGGATGATTCCTCACTGTTCTCATGATCATTGACACTCCACGAGGTGAGATCTTGCATGGTGCATCAGACCTGGGAGACTGACAGTTGTTTAGTGTGTCTTCCATTTGCGAATGATTTGCACCAACTGTTGTCACCTTCTCACCAAGCTACTTGACGATAGTTTATTAGCCCAGTCCAGCCTTGTGTAGGTCTACAATCTTGTCCCTGACATCCTTGGACAGCTCTTTGGTCTTTGCCATGGTGGAGAGTTTGGAATCTCATTGTTTGATTGCTCCTGTGGACAGTCGTCTTTTATACAGGTAACAAAATGAGATTAGCAGCACTCCCTTTAAGAGAATGTTTCTAATCTCAGTTTGTTACTTGTATGAAAGACACCTGGTAGCCAGAAATCCTGCTGAATGATAGGGGATCAAATACTTATTTCCCTCATGAACATGCAAATCAGTGCATCATTTGTTAGACATGCATTCCTTTTGAATGTTTTGTTGCTATTCTGTCTCTCAGTGTTACAATACACCGAACATTCGATTTTTTAAACTGATCATTTCTTTGTGAGGGGCGAACATTCAAAATCAGCAGGGGATCAAATACTTATTTCCTTCACTGTACTTTCTATTTATACATACGGTAATGTGCTGTGAAGGCATAAAAAAAGTCATAAACTTTAGTAAATACAGAGCAATAGAAAACCTTTATTGCTCTTTTTTTTTTTTTTTTTTTTTTTTTTTTTTTTTTTTTTTTTTTTTTTTTTTTTTTTTTTTTTTTTTTTTTTTTTTTTTTTTTTTTTTTTTTTTTTTTTTGTTTTTTTTTTTTTTTTTTTTTTTTTTTTTTTTTTTTTTTTTTTTTTTTTTTTTTTTTTTTTTTTTTTTTTTTTTTTTTTTTTTTTTTTTTTTTTTTTTTTTTTTTTTTGTTTTTTTTTTTTTTTTTTTTTTTTTTTTTTTTCTTCTGAGCAACTCCTACACAGCTCATTGTGCAGAATGGGCTGGCTGAAGTTCAGATTTAGGGCTATGCACACAGGGCATTGGCTAATCTCTTCTAAATGCCTTTCCTCTTGTCAGCCATGTTTTTGCAGAAAAAAGTCTTTTGACACATTTAGGCACTTCAAGCACTTGGGCATCAATTCATTTCATTGGCCAGAATTCTATGCGTGAGCCTGACATGTCTATCGTTAATGCGCGCTCAGATGCACTTACACAATTCAAGAGCTTTCATTGCCAAGATGCTGCTGCTCCTGGATGCACTAGCAGTCATTTTTTCAGCCTCTAGAGACAGAAAAAAAAATGCCAGACGCCCCTAAAACCAGCATTAACCACTTTCTGGATGTCCTATTGCAGCTTTACTGCTACAGAGTGGCTGCTCTGTGCAGAATCATGCATTATGTCTGATTCTGCATTTCTGTGCACGCCCACCTACCCCTGCTGGCATTGGCTCCTGTACATGTCATTCACTGGGTCCTGGCCAGCGATTCATGATGATTGGTGGAGCAACTGACAGGAGAGAGATCTGTCAGTGTAAACACAGATCTCTCTCCTGTCAGCGGGGATGTGCTGGATTTTATTTCCCTGCAAAGGACAGCCCCTAGTAAAACACCACACAGTATACAGTAATCACACTCCCTAACACACAGGTAACCTTTTGATCGCTCCAGATGTTGACACCTTCTTGTTCCGTGTCATTAATACAGTGACAGTGCTTTTTATTAGCATCATATTATTGTCACTGAAGGTTTCAGAGGCAGTTAGTCAGTTTCCACCCAGTGTCAGTTAGTGTCAGAATGCCCACCATTACTATCACAGTCCCACTATAAGTCACTGATCGCCACCATTACTAGTATGAAAAAAGAAAAAAAAAATCCAGTATATACAGTATCTCATACTTTGTAGACACTATCATTTTCATGCAAACCAATTAATATACACTTATTGGGATTTTTTTTACCAAAGACATTTAGCAGAAAACATTTTGCCTAAATTTATGCAGAAATTGTATTTTTTTTATTGGATATGTTTTATAGCAAAAAGTAAAAAATGTCTGTTTTTTTTTCGTTATATAGCACAAAAAAAATTTAAAAAAAAACAGCAGAGATCAAATACCACCAAAAGAAAGGTCTATTTGTGTGAAAAACATTATATAAGTTTAAATTTGTATACAGTGTTGCATGACTGTGCAATTGTCAGTTAAAGTAGCATACAGCAAAAAATGGCCTGGTCAGGAAGAGGGGTAAATCTTCCGAAGAGCAAGTGGTTAAAAATGTTGTATGTATGTAGACTTTATAGTGTAGGTCAAGCTATTTTTTTTATCCTAGGCTGGCCATACACTCATCAAAATTCAGCCAGTCCATCAGGGATTGGCCAAATTATGTTCAGTGCGTAGCAGTTCACACTCAAGTGATTAAAGGTTCAATTTTTTAAAATAAAAAGATTTGTCATACTCCCCCGATACAAATCATTAGTAATACCTCATCTGCAAATATGCAGTTTCAGTTTTTGGGCACCAATTCACAAAAAGAACATTGGGGAACTGGAGGAAGTACAGAGAAGGGCACCCAAACTGATAAGAGGCATGGAGGAGCTCAGCTATGAGGAAAAGATTAGAGGAACTGAATGTTATTCTCTCTTGAGAAGAGGAGATTAAGGGGGGATATGATCTCCATGGGTAATAATATATAAGGGGGGTATATGATCTCCATGCATAAAACATAAGGGGGGGGTATGATCTCCATGTATAATACATAAGGGGGGATATTGATCCTCCATGTATAATACATAAGGGGGGATATGATCACCATGTATAATACATAAGGGGGGATATGATCTCCATGTATAATACATAAGGGGGGATATGATCTCCATGTATAATACATAAGGGGGATATGATCACCCATGGCTAATACATAAGGGGGGATATGACTCCATGTATAATACATAAGGGGGGATCATCCCCATGATCTCCCATGTATAAATACATAAGGGGGATATGATCTCCATGTATAATACATAAGGGGGGATATGATCTTCTCCATGTATAATACATAAGGGGGGATATGATCACCATGGCTAATACATAAGGGGGGATATGATCTCCATGTATAATAACATAAGGGGGGGGATATGTCTCCATGTATAATACATAAGGGGAATATGATCTCCATGTACCCCCTAATACTTACAAGGGGGGATATGATCTCCATGTTCATAATACATAAGGGGGGGGGGGATTGTTGATGATCACCATGTATAATACATCAGTGGTTCATAATAGTGAACTCAGTGTAGTTATTCACCCTGAGGTCATCACAGAGGTTTTTTGCCTTTCTTCCGGTTCAACTGTGGGTATAGGATTATAACTTTTTTTTTTTTAATGGTTGAACTGGATGGACTTTTGTTCTTTTTTCTTCAGCCAGACTAACTATGTAAACTTAGTTAGCTCTGTGTAATTAGTTTTGCACAGAGAATCCCATGATCTTCCTCTTCTCAGGTCCCCGCGCTGGTGCTCCTGGACCCTCCCCCCACCGAGTGCCCCCACAGCAAGCCGCTTGCTATGGGGACACACACACGCATGTATGCTCCTCAGCCGGCTTTGTGTGTCCAATGACTCAGCCACATCCCGTCGCTCCCTCCTCTTTTGGCTGTGGGACTAACAGCAGCAGGAGGAGACAATGGCTTCCATTGCTGTCTCTGAGCCACTAAGAAGGGAAAGAGCCAAAAAAAGCCTGCTCTTGTGCACATCACTTGATTGAGATTCATGGTCCTCTAGTAAGTATAGGGGAGCTGGGGCACGTGCCTTGAATGGTTTTTCACCCGAATGTATTGAATACAATTAAGATAATAGAATAGAATACATTAAGATTTTACCTTTACAACCATTTTAAAAGACAAAGCTATATTGCCAAATAAACAGGAGCTATAGTGGAAAGTCAAAAATTGCCCTGGGCCATAGGAGGTGTGCAGGTGAGAGAGAACTGAACTGGAATTGTTCAGGAAGAAAACAGAAATAAGCTTATAAGATGCAAAAAACTTTTGACGAAAAGGAAACTATTCTGTTGTATGTGCAATCAAAAATGTATACAGAATGGAATGTTTCCTTTAAAGTTAAAGCAGAGCTCCATACCAAAAATAAAATAACAATTGCTATAATACTCAATGGGCATATATCCTTATATATGACCATCATCCTGGTACCAGTATCTGAGGTAAGAATCGGTGGGTCTTTGGTGAAGGGTATCCTGCAATGAAATATATAGACAAGGATTTCAGATTCCACTAGGAAGGGTTAGTGTGAGAAATTGTATTAGGATTGCAGTGGGATTAGTGTTATAGTGTTTACAGGGGAGGTTAGTATTGGGGTTCATGCAGAGATATACATTTTATATCCCTAGCATACATTTCCTGGTACCTTTCCTGCACCCAGGGAGCCTCAGGTGCCTCATATAGCCTGCCATTCATGTGAATGGCTGTACATGAGCATACTCTTGTAAATGCTGATGCAGCTTTGCATTGGTGTTTATTGGCACTGGTTTACTGGCTTTGTGTCCAAAGTATTTCCCAGAAATTCTGAAGAACCCTCTGCACACTGGTATATAACCCATTTCAAGCAAACTATGCAATAAATAGGGATATTTATCCCTATTTATTGCATAGTTTGCTTGAAAGGGTATATACCAGTGTGCAGAGGGTTCTTCAGAATTTCTAGAGTTAATGTGGTTACACCCCTTTAGCACCTGATGGATAAATGCATGCACTAGCTGTATGGATTTGAGCACAGGGATCTCTTGTTTGTTGTATTGTTGGGTCAGTAGCCAGACCCTGAACCTTGTAGCTCTCCCCATTGTGTCTTTTCCCCTATGTTGGCATTGTGTCCACAGTAGCACTTGTGTAGGCAGGGCAGAGTAGGACTGGCCATAGAGGGATTACTTTGACGCAGTTGGCCAGCTTAAACATGTTATTGCAATATGTGTGAACCAAATATCCCTATTTGTTGCATAGTTTGCTTGAAAGGGTATATACCAGTGTGCAGAGGGTCCTTCAGAATTTCTAGAGTTAATGTGGTTACACCCCTTTAGCACCTGATGGATAAATGCATGTACTAGCTGTATGGATTTGAACACAGGGATCTCTTGTTTAAAGTATTTCCCAAACGTAATGAATTTTGGGAAATTAGGTTGGACATGGTTTCATAACTAACGCAACCAAGTTAATGGGAGGGTTGGCGCTATGATTTGTTTTCAAAGCCCGACTCAATTTCTAATCAAAAATCAGCTGTTGTAGCACCCTGCTAGAGTAGTATGGATTCTTGGTAAATTTAGTCGGCTCCTCTGTAATCAGTGATTACATAGTTACATAGTTAGTCTGGCTGAAAAAAAAAAGACAAAAGTCCATCCAGTTCAACCATAAAAAAAAAAAAAAATGATAATCCTACACCCACAGTTGATCCAGAGGAAGGCAAAAAAAACAGCAAAAGCATGATCCAATTTGCTCCTGCAGGGAAAAAATTCATTCCTGATCCCCCGAGAGGCAATTGGATATTCTCTGGATCAACTTTACCTATAAATGTTAGTATCCAGTTCAGGGGCAGACTGACAACTCATGGGGGCCCTGGGCAATAGGGGATCATGGGGCCCCTGTGTCCTTGCCCACACTCAAAGCACACCCAAAAAAAAGCCTATAAAAAGGTACCAGGGGCATTTCATGGGGCCCCCTACTGACCCCGGGCCCTCGGGCAGTGCCCGAGTGCTTGAATGGTCAGTCCGCCCCTGATCCAGTTATATTGTGTATGCAAGAAAGAATCCAGGCCTTTTTTAAAGCAATCCACTGAGCTGGCCAGAACCAACTCTTGAGGGAGTCTATTTACACTGTGATTATTCAGGCCTGCTCAGAGGCTCACAGGCTGTTGCTTTGCTTCTAGAATTACAGTGGGAGGAATCACAGAGTAATCTAGCCAAAATGTCTGGGAAGGTGTGCCCAGTAGGTAGTGGGAGAGCCCATAAATAGTTTAAGGCCCAAGACAGGAGTAGCAAAGTTCCTGACCCAGTCCTGTTGGAGAAGACTCATGTGAAGGCCCCTCTGCCTCTGGTACAGGATTTCTGGAGGTCCTGTTTAGAAGACATCAAGGTTCCAGTTTGAAGTGTCATCTGGAGGGCCAATTCACAAAGCACAGTCCTGGAGATCATTTAGATCTCAAGAAGCTCACTGGAGAGTACCAGAAGGAAATTGGGGGAAGTTGTCCACCTGGCCTGTGGTGGTGTAAATCCGAGCTAGAGCTCTCCAATCAGAAATGTTCACACTTCTGGCTAATGAAGAGCTCTAGCTCTGACACAGCAGAGGGCGTGTGGGATCTCTGCAGAAAGACCTTTGCTTTCACCACAGAGGGCAAGGTTCTTTTTCTAGAGTATGCTGGCGGGGGACAGGTTTTTCTTCTAAGGACCAATTAGGCTAGATACTTTCATGGCCTTTTATTTTTTTTTTTTCACAATAAGATGTCCTGAGAAAAGTTGTGATGCCCCATGTTTTTTTCCCATTTTGACCCCATTAGAGGTAAAGTTATGGTCAATGGTGAGCACCAGGCTCTATGAACAGACAACCAATGTTACATAATAAACCCTTTGGGATGTTTTTGTTCTCTGTGGTTCCTGACTCTCTGTATTACCTTGATGCTGATGACCTTCTAGTGCTGTACTTTCTGTACTACACTTTCAATATTCTGCTCTTGTTTTTTTATCTTTCCCACAGACAGTCATAGACTGAACTACCGCTTTTCAACTACCTGGTCCCCAAAAGAATCAACCCCACCACACACCCAGATTACTGCCTCTCTGGATGACATTCCAATTTTAAAATACCTCAGCAGCGACCGAAAACTGCAACGCCTCGTTGGCTGGCTGGAGAATGTTGATCCTGGACACTGGAAGCTACTCTGGAGGAAATTGCAAAGCACTATGAACGGAGGCATCAGCATACAATACAGCGCCTGAGCCCATTTCAAAGTAAGCAAAAAAAAAGTCACCAACCGTCCCTGTTTTTTCCTGAGCTAACACTAAACACATTTGCCACTTTTGGCACAGAAGATGACCAGAATGTATAGTTAATGTTAGCGGCTATACACTGGTAAATAATCTCATTCATAGACTTTCATTTTAAACAATCAATCAATTTTCTAATCATTAGTTTTCAACCACAGTGACTAGAAATGGAAACATTTTTTTTAACAAATTAATTCTAAGGGATCGTTTACACTTGCTTCAGAATGTGAAATTGGTCACGCTTTTTTTTAAAGCGCTATGAATGCCAATCAAAGCACCTGTCACTAAATAACATGGGTAAGCTAAGGTCGTGATCATATGTTGCGCTTGCTTTGCTTCAAAAATTATAACCCCCATGTCGCTTTCTTGGTGCTTCAGATTGTCTCCAAAGCCACCAAAGTAGTCCACAACTAACAGCACCTTCAGCTTTTTAGGGGCTTTTATTCAGAGTTAGCTTTGCTTTGTTTGTAGGTGTTGTAGGCATGAGATATCCCAGGATGCACTGGGAAACCAAAAAGTTAACCTGAAAGGTGTCATCAGTAGTAACTCCTGGTTCATGAGTATACAGTGGGGATCGAAAGTTTTGGGCACCCCAGCTAAAAAATTTGTATTAATGTGCATAAAGAAGCCAAGGAGAGATGGAAAAAACTCCAAAAGGCATCAAATTACAGATTAGACGTTCTTATAATATGTCAACAAAAGTTAGATTTATTTCCATCATTTACACTTTCAAAATAACAGAAAACGAAAAAATGGTGTCTCGCAAAAGTTTGGGCACCCTGCAGAGTTAATATCTTGTACTGCCCCCTTTGGCAAGTATCACAGCTTGTAAACGCTTTTTGTAGCCAGCCAAGAGTCTTTCAATTCTTGTTTGAGGTATCTTTGCCCATTCTTCCTTACAAAAGTCTTCCAGTTCTTTGAGATTTCTGGGCTGTCTGTCACACACTGCTCTTTTAAGGTCTATCCATAGATTTTCAATTATGTTGAGGTCAGGAGATTGTGAAGGCCATGGCAAAACCTTCAGTTTACGCCTCTTGATGTAATCCCCCGTGGATTTCGAGGTGTGTTTAGGATCATTATCCATTTGTAGAAGCCATCCTCTCTTTAACTTCAGCTTTTTCACAGATGGCATCAAGTTACCATCCAAAATTTGCTGAAATTTTTATTGAATCCATTTTTCCTTCTACTCGTGAGAATGTTCCCTGTGCCACTGGCTGCAACACACAACCCCAAAGCAGGAAAAATATATTAAAATAAACTTTAGTGCAAAAACGCACAATCGAATACCCATTTTTGGTTAAGATATAAAAGATGAGCTTGCATTGAGTCAATAGACATCAAACATTCCATATCTTAAAATTGTGTGCGCCCACAATATCGCCAAGTAGTGCATCAAATGGCAACACTTTTTTTTTTTTTTTTTAAATTTTGGGTGCAGTGTGGAGGGGTTAGTCCTTCTGCCAGATTTTCATTGCTGTCTGTGTCCCAGCTGGGGAGATTCATAATCTCTGTTTGTAGACTATTTTGTCGACAATGACATCACCTGGAATTTCCTGTCCCCATACTAACAGAAGGGGCAGGAGCTGACATTTAAAAGCAATTTTTTTTTTTTTTTTACCTTTGCTGAAGTACATTGTACAACAGTGTCCCTTGTATAGGTTTAACCACTTATCTACCATGGCATTTTTTAAATATTTTTTGCACACATGCTAAAATCTGCATTTTTTGCTGGAAATTACCTTTAAAGTGATTCTAAAGGCTTTTTTTTTTAAAATAACTAACATGTCTATACTTACCTGCTGCGTGCAGTGGTTTTGCACAGAGCAGCCTGGATCCTCCTCTTCTCAGGTCACTCGCTGGTGCTCCTGGCTCCTCCCTCCTGTTGGGTGCCCCCACAGAAAGCAGCTTGCTATGGGGGCGCCCGCTGCTCTCCGTGTGTCCTAACTCAGCCCGCCTCCTTTTTTCTTCTCATTGGCTCACTGGCTGTGATTGACAAGCAGTGGGAGCTAGTGGCTCCAGCTTCTGTCTCAGCCAATGAGGAGAGGGAGTCCCAGGATAGCTGAGACTCCAGTGCACACCGCTGGATCAGATGAGGC